CTTCTTCACTATCGGTTTTTCTCCACCTCTATTTTGGATTTCGAGCGAAATGACCATACCAGCCTATCTGCTCAGCTTGCCTGGGACGGGACGTGTCTTTAAGCGAGCCTTGTCGCAGTCCCCACTACCACCAACACCTCAGAGGGGTCCTCCCATACGACCTCCCTTCTACTCCCCGCCACCACACTCACCATCGTGACTTTTTTTATAGTTACACAGGAAAACTTTTGCTCCACGTGGAACTCGAACCCGCACCTCTCGACCGAGTAAGTGCGCTAGCTTAGCTCGTAGTGTATTTACTTGTCCGAAGCAAGAGCGGCGGGTTCGAGTCCCGCGTGGGGTTGGTCTACACAGAATGTTTAAACGACAGATGCTGCATCGCCTATTTCGTGAAAAATCCACATTGGTAATCAAAGAACCCGCCTAAACTGACCCCTTCCGAGAATCCAAATAAGACCACCCGTTTTTTTTTTCGCTCAGCCTACGGTTGACCCTAGTTTAGAGCAATCTGTAATCAAAAGCGGCAAGTCGTTATTATCAATTAATAAATAGTTTGGGTTTTACAGCGTTAGTCGAGCAGGCGAGATCACTGAAGAGGCGGCATTTGGACTGGTCTTGAACGCTTCATGCTTGGATTACTGTGTTGATCCCCATAACGAGGAGCGTTTTGTGCAACTACTCAAGAGGTTTGCTTTTTTGTGAATTGTTACGGAGAACTGTAACAAGTGATAATAGTAAGTAATAGTATGATAAGTGGGATGAGGAGTATTCTGACAGGCAAAAGACCTGAGTGCATAGTGTAATGGGCATTATCTCATAATTTCTAATCTCTGTTCTTATTGGTGCGATTATTACCTGACTAAATAGAAAATGAAATAGGAAAATCAATTGAGTAAATTTTATACGGCTAGACGTAGAATGTGGCCGTGGCAGTGGTTATGAGGTAGGAGGCTTCACGCATCAGTTCGCACTGTCACAGGGTCCATTTTTGTTCACTCCTTCTTACACTCGAGAGCCGAAATTAGCGGCATACCTGCTCGGACAACCCTGTCATCGTCTTCAAGCTACCACACCCTGTCATCGTCTTCAAGCTACCACCAACTCTTTCTCATTCCTTAAAGGCAAAGTTCGAGCTCAGACCCACCTAAGAAGCCCTTACCATTGCTAGAAGGATTGGGTACGTAAGTGCGAAGGTAGCGCCGCCTTTCTATACATCGAAACGCGTCAGTAGGA